CTGAAACAGTCAATATTGGTTGTTGGGAAGAATCAAATTTAGACTATGCCTCCGTAGACCCAGAAAAAGGCAAGAAAACAAATAAATGTAGCCTGGGAGCAGGAATTCCATTGTGTAAATGTTTAGGTACAACTCTCACCAGCTACTAATTCACTAAATGTTAATTTTTTTAGCCAGCATTTCTACATCTGGTCCACCAGCCTATCATAAGAATCTATTGAATGCCTTTCTGAAATTCAGGTAACGTTAGGATAGATTTCACACTTTCCTGGATGTGAGCTTGCTTCACTCTAATTCTAGTGCAATGGGAACCCCATGGAGAACAAGACAAATCAACTATTAAGGTTAAGCAACTGAGCAAAAAAAGGTGTCTTCTAAGACTGACTGCTTGTCAAAACTGTGGTTAAGAAGCTGTCTTGTCACAACTAGCCAAATGCAGTCTCACACAGAAAACACAAGGCACCCTGGATTCTATATGAGCTCTGTCATGGCCAGCTCAGTCATTCTTTGAACTCACACTTACCAACATAAAGATAGGCTGAGGACATGGATCTACATATTTCACTCATTGAGTCACCCAGCATTTATTGGGCACATACTCATAGTCAGGCAAAGGCAATTATAGTGGCTACAGAGCAAAATAAATAGAGAGCCTCCCTCAAAGTATTCATATTCTAGCATTGAGAGCAGACAGGAAACAGACATTTGGCTGGAAAGTGCTAAAGCTAGGCACAAAAAGATCACTACCCTTTCATAAAGAAATCAGAAAAGCTTTCCCATAGGGAATAACATTTGACCAGGTCTCCATTAAGGAGTATGGAGTATGCATTTGAAAGTGCACAGAAGGAGTTTGAAAGTGCTCAAAAATGAGCAAAGGTATGGAAGCCTCCAAAACAGTGGCAATGTTTAAGGAATGGTAAGAACACTGGTTTGGCTGAAGTGCCTTGAGGATGGAGGGGAACTGCCAGAACTGCCAGAAGCGTTGAGTGGTACCGACACCGTGTCAAAACCGTGTGAAAGTATATGCTGAAAACCAATAGGAGAATATTGGATATTATAAGGCAGAAATTATATACAGTCACCCATTGCTTAACTATAGAAATGCCTTCTGAGAAATATGACACTAGGTGATTTCATCATTACACATACATTTTGGAGTGTACTTGCACAGATCTAGATGGTATAGGATACTACAGACCCAGGCTGTCTGGTGATGTCTAATGCTTAAAGGTCATGATGAACATAGCAACATGGTTTAAAATTAAGCACAAGAGAAAATGATGTGATTTAGAGACAGTAAACATGAGATAGTTGAAGATTTATCATCATAACACAGCATATTATTTTACAGTAATCTATTTTTTTTTTGCCAGAGGGCATATGTACTTGCCAGAAAGAGACAGAGAGAGAGGCAAAGAGAGAGAAGGAAAACACCCCACAATGTGGTATGGTCATGCCACCATCTTTTTCTTCCATTTCTCCATCCTGTCAGGATTTGGAGCACACACATACACATGTGCCAGGCATGTTTTTTCTTTCTTTCTTTCTTTCTTTCTTTCTTTCTTTCTTTCTTTCTTTTTTTTCTTTTTTTTTTTTTTTTGGAGAGGTTTTTGCTATAGGGCGCGTGCACTCGCCAGACAGACAGACAGAGACAGAAAGACAGAAAGCAAGAGATCACCCCCCCAGGGGGGATGGCCACGCCGCAATCCCTTCTCCTCCATTCTCCTCTCGGGATCTTGGGCACGCACGCACACACACCCGGTATGAGTTTAAGTCGCTGGGTCCGGGACTCAAATCGCGGTCGACTACGTGGGAGTCCAGCGACATAGCCATTTTGCTAACTGCTGGTCCCCCAGGCATGCTTTTCAAGCCATTGTGGCCAGGATTGGAACCACTTTGGGCCATGTGGGATCCAGCTCCCTATGCACAGGGTCTAACTGTTAACACTACAGGGCCAGCCCATACAGTAAATTGTTTTTAAAAAATAAGTAGAAGTAAAAACCTAAGAAAAAGTACAATATAGTAAATACATAAATCAGCCATACTGATTCATTATTATTATCAAGTATTATGTACTGTACATAATTATATGTGCTTTACTTTTATATGACAGGCAGCACAATAGGTTTGTTTGCACTAGCATCACCACAGACACATGAGTAATGCACTGCTCTGCAAAGTTATGATGGCTATGACATCCCTAGGTGACAGGACTTTCTCAGCTCTATTATAATCTTACCGTACCACCTTTGTGCATGTGGTCTGTTGTTGACCAATACATTGTTATGAGGCACAAGACTAGATCAAGGTCATATTTCTTTGAAAATGAGATACCTTGAGACAATTCAAATATAATCAATAACTTCATTAAGCTGGCAGAGAATAAAAAAGGACTAGACAATTTTGCCACTTATTAGATATGCAGTCTTACATAATTCACTTATCTTCTGCCTGTATGTGTAAAATGACTGTAACAATAGCTAACAGTGCACGTAGGGACGTAATTGAGTATGAATTCACCAAATACTAGTTGTGCTGGTGGTTTTCTAAGTCTAAACCCACTGTTCTAAAGATTCAAAGGCATCTACTATATATTACTAATAACAATAATGTCAATAATAATAGTGGCTATATTTATTAAGTGCTTAATATATGCCAGGTAACTTTAACTTTATAAATATTTTAATTCTTATATCTAAGAGTTAGATTTAGTAACTTCTACTTTGTGAGTGAGGAAAATGAGTCTCGCAGATCTAAATAACTGCCCCAGACAACAGAGCAGGTATTAGTGAGGCCTATAATGAAAATGGCACTTTTGTTCTATTCTCTCATGCTGTTTCTTCTTTAAATAAATGACATACTTCCACTTCTCTGCAGTCACTCAAGCCGAAGATGTTTTGGAGATCAAGGTTTAATTAGATGGCAGAAATATCATGCCCGGGTGAAAGAGGACTGAATCAAATGCTCTCTTTCCTCATTTACTCACTGCCACTTAGACCAGTAAAGAGGTCTCATCTCTCATCCCGTCCTCTATACCCCTAACAGATGTTCAGTCAGCCCTATTTCTCCCTCCTCTCGCACCTTTCTTCTTTTATGCAGCAAGCACGCGGCACATATCTGGCACCCTGGATCATGTTATTTTGGGTGAATGTCAGTTGGGTAAATAAAAGTCTCAACTTCTACCAGAACTTGACACTCAGAGGGAGAATGTCTGTCTGTGTTCAGAGTGGGAATCAGGAAAATAATTTTAGTGGGACCTCCATGACTCAGCCTTGTGATTCTAGACTCTGAATTTTGAGGTTCCAGAGGACGTGGCTGGCTATGAAAGATGCTTATTTGTTTGTCGTTTGGTAACTATTTCAACTACTAAGACCCTGTAGTAGGGCTCTCCAGAGGGGAAAGAAAGACTGAGAAGTAGGATTAAAGCATGAATATCCCTCTGAACTCCTAAAAATTAGTGTCAGGGGGATGGACCAATAACTCCAAATTTCTGCCTTCTAGGTGGTGCTCATCCTCAAGTAGCACTGAGGTACAGTGGTGATGGGCATGCATTGGGCATGACAGTTAAGGGCATAGGTCTGAATCAGACAGACCTGGCTTTGAATTCTTGCTTTTGTTTTTTAACTACATGATGTGGCGTTTAACTTTTGATTTATTCCCAGTTTCCTAATTCATAAAGTGAAAGGAGTAATATTTACTTTGCAGGGTTATTATAAAAATTAAATGAAATAGAGATGCATAGTGCCTAGAACAGAGCCTGGCACCCAGGAGTTACTTGAGAAATAGAAGCATCTGGTCCTAATTATTACGTAATAATTCCCTATCTTCTCTAAGTGCATTGATCAGATTTGACCAGAGTGGGCAAGTCTCCATTTCACAAGCTGCTATGAAAACACAACTTAGTGGTTTGAAAGCATTATTTATGAAAGAAAAATATAACTTGAGTTATCCATTGTTTCCCTTTTGAATTATTTATGAAGTGTATGGTAATAGGAATCCAGATCAGACAGAATAAAAGCTGAGCTGATGTTTGCGGAGTTGTGCTTAAAAAAACTTGAGAAAACATTATTTCACAAATTGTCTTCTTGCTTAATGATTTAATCACTAAGGATACATGTTAACAATCACTCTAAATAAGCTCTTGAAAGAAAAATATACTGCTTGTCACCACCCACCCAACAATCTGTAGCTTGGTTTTTAGGAATTAAATGGTCACTTCAAAAAGAAAAAATCAACTTGTAGCAAAAACTCAGGGAAAACAGAAAAAAAAAAGAAGGAAGAAAAAATCTTCATGAAATGAACTGAATGCACAGATCAAAATATAGCGAACACTCCTTTGATGCCCATAATGTCTCCAGAAGAAAATACAACCAATCAGGGGAACCAAGAACAGATTTGTATTAACTTCAGCAAGTATCAACGACTTATCTACTCATCATTACTCCCATTACACAGAAAGTAATTAAGGCCCAGAAATATTAAATAACCTGCTTAAAGTGGTACAACTAAAAATGATAAAAGGGAATTCCAAACAAAATCTCAACCATGCTCTTTCTATTGTGTGCTGCTGTTTATATCAGTTTTGCAAAAGAGCCAGCATTTAGCATCACTTTTGTGCTAGCTAGTGAGAGAAAATTTATACAGGAATGTTTCTATCTGTTAATAGTTCCCCAAAATTCCATAAATACCTTTAGAGAATTTCTCAAGATTTAAAACTCCTTGTAGAATAGAATCTTGTTTGAAACTATTGACTGACTACATAATGGCCATAGATTATTACCCAAAAAGCCTGAATTTGTTCAAAAGGTGAGTGGTACGTACTCAGGGGTGAATGGGTTTACAGTGAAGCTAATGAAAGTTAACAATCTTCAGGGCCATCTCTGGCATAACTGCATCCAAGGCCTTGGAGAGGGGAGGCTAAGCATTTGTAATTTTGAGTTATTTAGTTAAAAAGCCTGAGGCTTTACAAAAGTTGAATCGATTCCTGTACTCACAGATGGTAGGCCCTTGCCCCAGATCGAACTGATGAATCGTGATTGATATAAATCAGCCAGAGAAACTTATTTTTCATCACCAGTGGTTTGTCCTAGGGAATTTTCTGATAGCATCTGAAAATAACATTGTTTAAGGGTTAAAAAAGACCCATATAAGGAAAACATTTTTTTGTACCATCCACCCAAGCACCACCCTCTCTCTTGATTTAGATCTTATTGTATGATACCTCGAGCTATATAAACTATCTTAGAACCATAAAGAAATGCCATGAGAATCACACACGAGCCACCTGATCACCTGATATGACGGGGTTGCTGATACAGCCCCGGGTCTTATCGTCACTAAACTCCACTAAATTCCACTAAATGACCACAATTTGATTGTAGTCTATTCAACACTTGATAGAAGTCTGGATGTTTTCCATTCTTGTGGCCATTATGATAAAGCTAATATAAAAAAATCTATGTAGAGACATGTCTTAACTTCTCTTAGGTAAACACTGTAATGCAGAATCAAGAAGCCCTAAGGTAAGTGTATGTTCAACTATATAAGAAACCATCAAACTCTTCTCCAACAACAGTGTACAAGAATTCCAGTTGTTCCAGGACCAGCACATGGCATAATGGTTTCATCGTTGGACTACCACATGGTTAATTGCAGTTCAAGTCCCCGACCTGGTGGCTTCAAACTCATACTGGGTGCGTGTGTCATGAGACGAGAATGGAGGAGAAGGGATTGTGGCGTAGCCATCTCCCTAGGGGGTGATTTCTTGCTTTCTGTCTCTCTCCAGCAAGTGCATGTGCCCTGTAGTAGTCTTTCTAGAAATAAAAGAACCATTGGAATATATGATGTCTTCACTTTTAGCTCTAATTTTCCCCCCTTTCAATTAGGGGTGTTAAATGACTTGGGAATCAATATATTAACTTTTTATAAAAAGCTGTATTTTCTTTAAATTTGGCACTTAAATAGCTTGTTTAAAATCACTGCATTAATGGCGGTACCATTTATTATGGCTTTAACTAACATTGCCATAGTAACTAGTGATATTGAGCATTTTTTGTGCTTTCTTTCTACATCTCCCCTTATGAAGTGTATAAATCCTCAGATTCTATTTTTTTTAGAGTTATAGAGTTGTTTATATACTTCATATACTCTGATAACAAGTGAGATAAATGTTTGGTGAATATTTCTCTTAGTATGGCTTTACCTTTTTGTATTCTTAACAATACTTCCTGGAAAACAAAGATTTAAGTTTAGAAAATTTAATATATTATTTTTCATTTTTGCTTCGTGTTTTTAGTATCCTATTTTAAGAAATTTTTTAATTCAAAATTAAAGACACAATTTTTTTCTCCTATAGTTTCTTCTATATTGTAGCATTTGCCCTTATGTCTTATAATCCATTTGAAGTTATTTTTTATATAGTGTGAATGAAAGGTTGTGTGAATGAAAGGTTGTGTTTTGTTTGCACATAAAAATCCAATTGTTCTTGTATCACTTATTAAGTCTCCTAAACAAGTCAATGAATTATTTTGCCATTTTTGTCCAAAATCAGTTGCCCTGGGACCAGCAGATGGTGTAATGGTTATGTCACTGGACTCCCACATGGCCAATCGTGGTTCAAGTCCTGGACCCAGTGGCTTGAAACTCACGCTGGGCGCATGTGCGTGTGTGCCCAAAATCCTTAAAGGAACATGTAGAAGAGGGATTACAACATGGCTTTCCTCCTGGGTGGGGGGAGTGAATTCTTGCTTTCTGCCTCTCTTTGTTTCTCCCATGAGTGCATGCTTATAGCAAAAAAAAAAAAAAAAAAAACTCTAAAAAAAAAAAAAAACTCTAAAAAAATAATCAATTGACCTTATACACATTGTTTATTTTGAGATTTTTCTATTCTATTCCTTTGAGGCTGTATATCTACTGTCCCATTATCACTTCCCTTGTTTACTGTAGCTTTGTAGGTTTAGAAATCAGTCATTACATGCCCTCCAACTTCAATTTTCTTTTCAAAGTTGTTTTCTCAATTCAAATCCTTTGTGCTTCCATATAAATATTAGACTCATAAATTTTTATGAAAAAAAAACTTGCTGAGATTGAGATTTGAGTTACATTAAATTTATAGGGTGCTTACAGTAAAGTTGACACCTTAACAATATTACACCTTCTGATAAATAAGCACAATATATCTATTTATTTAAAACATCTTGAACTTCTTTCAGCAATGGTTTTCATTGGAGAAATTTTATACACATGTTATTAAATGCTGTAAGTGCTATTTTTACTTTAATTTCCAACTATTTTTGTTACGGTATAAATATACAACTGATCCTTTTATATCCCCATTTTTCAATATAACTATATTCTGATTCAAAAAGTCTTTAAAAATGATAAATCTAGGGGTCAGCAGGTGGTGTGCTGGTTAAGGTGCTGGACTCCCACATGGCCAACCATGATTTAAGTTCCAGACCTGCCAGCTTGAAATCAAGCCAGACATGTGTGTGTGTGTGTGTGTGTGTGTGTGTGTGTGTGTGTGTGTGCCCAAAATTCTGAGAGAATAGAGAAGGGATTGTCACATGGCCATTCTCCCTAGGGGGTGATTTCTCTTTTTCTCTCATTGTCGTTCTCTGGCAAGCTTATGTGCCCTATGGCAAAACCTTAAAAAACTTTTAAAAAGATAAATCGGAAAATATTACATGCTAAACCTAATTGTAAGTTCAAATAACATTTTTGTAGATTTCTTCAAGTTTTTTTGTCAAAAACTTAAAAAAACTTTTTTTACAGTGTAGATGCCTTTTACTTCCTCTCTTAATAAGTTAGTAAGAACTACCAATATGGTATTAAACACAAATGGAGAAAGAGACTATCCTTGCCCTAAGGGAAATAATTTAGTCTCTAGTCATCATGTAGGCTATAGATTTTTTCATAAATGCTTCCTTTCAGGTTGAAAAAGTACTTTTCTATACCTACTTTTATGAGCTTTCATCATGAATAGTGTTGAATCTTTCAATGCTTTTCTTGTATTTAATGAGGTGATCTGATAGATTTTTAACCCACTGGGTCCAGGACTCAAACCACAGTCGGCAATGTGGGAATCCATGCTTTAACTACCAATTGCTGGCTCACATACTTAACTCTTTATGATTTGTTATTTACATTCAATCATTATACATTTCTTAGTGCATAATATGTTTTTCAAGGCATGCATGCAGTACACAATAATCAAATCAAGGGTATTACTATAAGCATCATTTTCAACAGAGAACTTAGTGATCTAATAAGAGCTTTTTCCCCTGAGCCCCTCCTACCCACCCTCTGCTACTCCTTTCCCATACAGTTTCTGTTATCTACCCTTGTCCTCTCTATTATATCTTTGGATTTTTCAATTTCTGCCATACAGTGCAAACATTAAGTATGTTTCTAGTAGGGATATATGGTGTTTGTCTGTTTGTCTTTCACAGTCTGGCTTCACTTAGTATTAAATTTTCTATATTCACCCACTTAAAGTCAAATGGCAAAGTAGTTTTTAATTTTCTTTTCAATTGCTTTTTTAATTCAAGGGATATTTAGAAATAAGTTATTTAGTTTCCAAATATCTATGGAGTTTCCAAATATTTTCACGTTATTGATTCCTGGTTTAATTTCACTGTGATCAGAGAACATACTTTGTATAACTTGAATAATTTTCATATTTCAAGAAACTTGTTTGGGGGACCAGCAGTTAACATATTGGCTATGTCGCTGGACTCCCACGTAGTCGACCGCCGTTCACGTCCCGGATCTGGTGGCTTCAAACTCACGCCGGGAGCGTGTGTATGCGTGCCCAAGATCCCGAGAGGAGAATGGAGGAGAAGGGATTGTGGCGTGGCCATCCCCCCTGGGGGATGATTTCTCACTTTCTGTCTCTCTGTCTCTCTCTGTCTGTCTGGCGAGCACATGCGCCCTATAGCGAAAACCTCTAAAAAAAAAAAGAAAGAAAGAAAGAAAGAAAGAAAGAAAGAAAGAAAGAAAGAAAGAAAGAAAGAAAGAAAGAAAGAAAGAAACTTGTTTGATAGCCCAGATAAAGTCTATATTTGTAAATGTTACATGTACACTTCATAAGAATATGTATTTTTCTATTTTATGTATTGTCCTATAAATATCACTTAGTTAAGACTGGTTGGTAGTTTTGTTCTGATTTTTTATTTATCCTTACTAATTTGTGTCTCTTGCTGATTAGTTACTGAGAAGAGGATATCAAAATATTCACATGTAGGGCCAGCGACATGGCCTGGTGATTCAAGACATTGGATCCCACATGGCAGATGGTGTGGTTTGAATCTGGGCATGTATTAGTGCATAGCCCAAATTCTGACAGGATGGAGAAATGGAGGAGAAGGGATTCAGGAACGGCCATTCCCCACTGAAGGTGCTTTCTCCCTCTCCCTCTCCTACTCTCTGTTTCTCTCCAGTGAACATACACACCCTCTGGTAAATTTTGAAAAAGAAACATTCAAGTTGTCTATTTCTCTTTGTAGTTCTGTCAGTTTTTGTTCCACATATTTGAGTGTCAGGGATTTGTTGCATAAACCTTTAGGACTATTATGTCCTTTGTAATTATGACATTATCTTCTTTATCCCATGTAATGTATTTGGCTTTCTAACCTATTTTGATATTAATACAACTTCATAAGACATTTTTGGTCACTATCAGTATGTGTATTTTTAACTACCTTTTACTTTTAATTTATCTGTGTCTTTCTTTTAAAGTGAGTGTTTGTGTAGGCAGCATATAAATAGTTTTTGATGGTTTACCCAATATGGCAATCCCTACCTTTTAAATGGGGTATTAGACCATTCACATTCAGTGATAATATCGATATTATTAAATTTAAATCCAACTTAAAGTTTCCTTCATAATTTCTGGCTATATAACAAGAGCCTTTTACCTTACCATCTTTCAGTAAAAATTCTAGATGAGTAAGATGAAGAGATGCTAAAATAGGAAAACTTTGTGTTAAAGGTTAGTTATTCCAAAGAATCTGACATAGTAACCCCCCTTCTCAATGAACTTGGTGCACATGTGAGCCCAACAGTCCAAGAATAAAATTACAGAATGAGAATAAAAATAATCCATCAG